GTGTTGGGGGGGGGGGGAAGTGTAGCTCAAAAAGCTAAAATTAGGGGCTGGGGATTTAGCTCAGTGGTTCAGTGGCCTGCCTCGCAAGCGCAAAGACCCGAGTTCAATCCCCAGTACCAAAAAAAAATCTAAAAATACAAGTTCCATTTGACCCAGCTGTTCCCCTCCTAGGTATCTTCCCCAGAGAGTTAAAGACCACAGTCATGTATACATATGTGTGTATACAGCAGCACAACTCATAATGCCCTACATGTCCATCAATAGTTGAATGGACCAAGAAATGTGGCATTTACGTTCTATGGAGTCCTCCCCTGCCACACAGCATACATTTGGGTCATTTGTGGGGAAATGATCGCACCTCCAGACCATAACGTTACGTGAAGTGACTCAGATACACAAGTTTAAGTATTGCAAGCTTTGTCTTACATGAGAAACTCAATAAATGAATAAAATGTAAAATGAAAGACAGTAAGGAAATATTGTCTGGAGGGGGAGCAGGAGATGTGGACAGAGGGCTATTGCTGCCGTGCTGAGCTGACCACCAAAGATATCCCATCCGTCCACCTGCCCTCATCCTTGTGCAGAGCAAGGGCACTAATCATTCTTCTTACCTTATACAAAAACCGGGTCATTCTAGGGTTCTTGATCTTGGAAGGCAGCTCTTGGACTTGGGCCAGAAATTGACTCTCAACCTGAATCAAGTGGAAGAAAATTGTAATAGTGTTTGATCTGGCTTCGTGTCAAGCTACTTGGGTGTTATTTTGTTTCATTATACCGAACAAGATACACTTGCAGCTGGCACTCCTGGCCCTAAAGCTAGGAAGAGCTCACAGAAGCTCAGAGAAGACTTATGAATGCACAAATGAATTACCTTCCAAACAAACCATCTTTCCACGAGTATTAGTCATGGGCTGCTGACTCACCCTATCGTTTTCACTGTCAAAAAATCTATAGAGCCCTTTCTTCAAACAAATTCTTAGCTTGAATCCCTGGACACGGAAAGGAATAAAAAACGAAGTGGTTCTTGCTCTTCAGAAAACAAAATGTTCAAAGCTCTGCGCAGAACTCTGTTCTGTCCAAAGGAGACTTGTGGAACTGTCAGGACACAGCTGCCCAACCTGACCACCAGTGACTGATCAGCAGAGACCTTACAAAGGCGTGGAGAGGGCATAACCAAAGTTTGATAGTGCTGTGTCCCAGAGGCTGGCCAGTGAGGAGTAGAGACGTGTGACCTAATCATGTGCAGAGTACAGATAAGCCATTATCGAATGGCGACACACTTACTTTACTAGCCATTTGGAAAACTAACCCGCACATTAAACATGGAAGTTGTGGCTATTACTAAGGGTATGGTTATAATTTAAGTCACAAAAATAAAATGGAGCATGAGTGCTGAGATGTGGCAAAAACTGACAAAAGCCTAGCTAAATCAGCCACAGCTTAAATATAAGTTCTGTTTCTCCACGGAGAACTCGGGGTTCTTCTTCCCAGACCTCCCTGAGAGAAGTGAAAGACATTGAGAGGTGCAGCAGGGCGAAGAGCAACTCTGAAAAACCTGGCGACTGGGTAGAACTTGTCAACTTCTCCCACATGGCTAAGTTCTCCACAAAGCTCTGCTCACGGGAACAGTCTTTGCCTCCCGGAATTTTCCTGAGAGAGAGGGCATTGCACAGAGCAATTCCATGCATAGGGCCACGACCCGAGACCATGTTAGTTCACCAGCCAAGGTACACTAGATGCAGAATTTGGCTATCAAAGGGAAAAGGAGATATTTCAAGTGCAAATCTCACCAAGTCTCAACTTCTCATTAAGTTGGTTTGGCAGCATTAATACTCAAAGTGTCACCAATAACAATGAGCTCACGTGGAACATGCGGTGAGTAGGTGGCAGATAATGCAAATACACTAACAAGCCCAACCCAGACCCAGGATCAGACAGCGGGCCTGGACAGAGAGTGCCGATGCTGGAGGAAGACATGCCTGTAAGTGCAACAGGCCCAGTGACGGTGGTGTGGGACGCATGGCGGGTGCTTGGCCTAGGCTTTAGCTCAGAGCGGGAAAGGAGCATGCTTGGCAGGTGTCTGCCATGCCCCAGGGGTCTCTGCTGCTCAGGTTGCCCGCAAGTGCAGTGGGCAGAGTGGGCTGGGAAAGCTCGGATCACTAGGCTCCTAAATGTGGTCTTTATCCCATGGGCGATAATGAAGCACCCACAACTTACATTATGTGGAGAGCAGTTTTTCAGAAAGACTTCTAGCAATGTTAGGCTTGTACCCAGATATCCCGAAAGCCTCCTGTCTCACAGATGGGGCTTTCTGGAAGTGGTCAGGCCATGGATGCATGATGTTGCACTAAGGGCATGTGAAAACTGGACTACTCCATCTATTGGCTGAGCATAGTTCTGGGTGGGGGCAGCACTGACCAGTCGGCTGGTAGACTGGACAGACTATAAACAGAAGAGGCTGCTCACTACAGCAGCTTCGTGAATTGCTGCCTCTCTGCCAGGCCATCCTGCCTTAAAGCCAGTGAGCGGACTATGGCCTGAACCTCTAAAAACCGTGAGCTGAAGCCTTTTTTTTTACTTGTGGATGCCAGGTATTTTTGTACAAGCGATGAGAATAGTATCTAAGACAAGCAGTAATGGCACACGACATTAATACTTACGGGTGTGAACTTGATAATCACATGCTTTCATTTTGAATCCAGTAGCTCCTAATCATTACTTGGATTTGAGAAAATTATTAACCTTTCCATGTGTAATACAGAAATGTCAGTTTCAGCCCCATACAGTTATAGGGATTAAATTAATTAATGTGTTTAAGACATTGACACTGGCGCCTTAGATATGCTGCATTGTTTGCTAAAGTTCATTTTCCTCATTGGTAAGATGCAGAACATGATCTTTCCTCATGTTCCAGGAAACAGGAAAACCAGAGGTTCAGAAGTGATGGAGTCTGAACAAGATGGTATACAGCCCACAATGGTTAAAAAAGACAACCTGAGAAGATAATAAAACAGGATTTCTACAGATGTGTGCATACACATAGGTTACTATACACATACACACATACATATATTTGCCCAATCAGCTGAGAGGACCTAAAAACAATAAAAGCCCAATAGAAATAAGCATGCCTAGCACCCAGATCTTGGTTTCTAACACTACTCTCCCAAGAGAAACCTGGGATCCTTGGTTTGGTTCTGGGATGATGGGTTCTGGAACTGGGAAAGAAAATACATGTTGAGCTTAGAGCATATTGTAGTCACAGGAAGTAAGGAAGTGATTAAAAAATGGGAAAACATCCACACTAATGGGAGCATGCCAAAGGGGCATGGGAACATGCAATGTCCAAAGCTGAATAATTTGCACTAGATTATAACACAAAGCAAAAACAAACAAAAAACAACTCCCTCAGTTCATATTGTCGAGATATATGATATAATACAGTAATGAATGGGAGAAGAGACATCTCTCATGCAGAGGAGTGAGCTGCATCAATGTTGAACCCCAGAGGAAGGGGAGTATGCACCCCCGCTTAAGTGTGGACAATGCGTAGAAAATAGTTCAGAAGGCTCAGCAGGGAACCGGAGAAAAAGGATGTCCCTACAGTGAAGGAACCGGGCTTCAGGCAGGTGAGCAAGGTCAACACCAGCAGTCCTAAATCATGTTGATAGTTTGTACCTTTGGAGTGATTTGATGAAAATGCATCTACTTCAGTGGGAGATTTCTTCCCAAAATCTACAAACCAAATCTCATCATGAGTAAAACAAGTGAATTCCATTCTGTAATGTGCCTGGCAAGCCCTCAAAACTGTAGAAGTCATCAAAAACAAGGAAAGGCTGAGGAACTTTTCCAACAAGAGGAGACTAAAAAGACATGACTGCTAAGTACAATATGGCAGAGGCTGCCAACTTCCAGCCCACGGCCTATTAGAAACCAGGCCTCACCACAGGGGACAAGTGGCAGGTGAGTGAGCAAAGGTTCATCTGTATTCACAGCTGCCCCACACTACCACTGAGGCTCTGTTCTGGGTAGATCAGCAGCAGCATGGGATTCTCATAGGAGTGCAAACCCTACTGTGAACAGTGCATGTCAGGAATCTAGGTTGTGCACTTCTTTTCTTTCTTTTTTTTTTTCAAAAGCAAACTAGAATTATGGGGGTGATGGGTAAACACTGGGATTTTTGACAAATTCCAAACATTAGCAGAGATTTTGAGAGAGACTGAGCTAGGGGCTTCTTTCTCCCACCTGGAACATGATGACCTATCACAGCTTTCAAAGGAGTTTGAGCATTGCTTCCCAAACCACAAAAGATGCCTGGACTAGGAAAGAATGGCTCTGTGACCCCTGTGTGAATAAGCCAGCTAAATCAACCGCTTGAGACCTCAGACAGTGGCCTAGCCAGGCGTGGTAGCACACACAAGTAATCCCAGCACTTGGGAGGCCAAGGCAGGAGGACCACTGTGAGTCTGAGGCCAGCCCAAACTGCATAGTGAGACCCTGCCTCAAAAACAAAACAAAACAAAATGATGGTGGAATTAACAGTATATTTGAGACAACTTCAAATCTCCATACATTGTGTATTATTAGCCAGGGTGGAATAGCCTGAGATTGCTACAAAAGCTAAAAAGCCTCCTTCCATTTCCGTCTTATCTTTGTGAAGCAGGGTTTTCTGTATCAACAGCAACCAAACTGAGTTTACAGAGTAGACTGGATGTAACAACACACTTACCCTGGATAGGAACTATCTAGCTGCAGAAAAACAGCTCAGGGCTCCCACTGACACTACATTATGGTGACTTGTATAACTATTTCATCATATATTACAATGTCATAATGTAAATAGCATGCATACTAAATGTAATGCACGTGAATTACCATGGAACCATCCTCCACCGGTTTGCGGGAAGCTTGTCTTCCACAAAACCAGTCTCTGCTGCCAAAAAGTTTAGGGACCCTGCAACATGGGGCCCCAGATGGGATTGTAGATAAAATGACATTAAGTAAAACTTAAGGAAATCTGCATGAGTATGGAGTTCAGTTGATAATAACAGATCAAAATTGGCTCATTATTTATAACAAATGCAGCATCCTACTTAATCAATTAATAACAGGGGAAACCAGGTAGAGGGTGGGAGTATTATATGGGAACTCTCTGTATTCTTTGCTCAATTTTTCTGTAAATCTGGGACTGTTCTGAACACAGTCTTTTATTAAAACAGACAAACCTCTTGGGGGAAGGCTATGACAGCAAGGCTGGCACTTTCAACAGAATATATATTTATTTCACAGAATCCAAAGGACAGAATCAGGTGAAAGGGTGGGAATCATAAGGAAGTCGCTCTGGTTTGATAGAGAGCAGAACTGTCTAAAGTCTAGAGTTGCTCCAAAATAGAACAGAAATCCCTGTGAGGCCAAGAACATTCTGTCACTGGATCCAGAATCCATCTGGGGACACATGCATAGAATCGCAAGCTGGGCAAGAGTCTCCAAGGTCCCCCGACTCTAAGACTCATTCAGGGAACCTCTGGGAATGCATTTTAAACACAATCTTGTATAGTCTGGGTCTGAAAAGTCCCCTAAGACCTCTGTCCTGATGGCTTGGTACCTGGTTCTGACACTATTGGGAGGTGGCTGAACCCTTAGAATATGGGTGCTGGAGGGAGGCTGTAAGGTCATCAGAGGGTGCTCTCAA